AGTAGCAGCGTGTATAGTGTCAGTGCTAGGATGTACTTGAAAGACTTTGCGTACCGCAGGCGCCTTGAGTTCATAGCAAAAGAGTGGCTAGTTGTCAGTGTTCGGAGCGCCAAGTGCCAGACTTCAGTTGCTAAAGGGTATTGGGGTTTTGGGGTTTAGGGGTTTAGTGTTTAGGGGTTTAGGGGTTTAGGGCGTTTGGGGTTTAGGGTTTTGGGGTTTCGGGGTTTTGGGTTTAGGCTCCATCATTTGTAGCAAAATCGTGTAGCAAAAGAGTCGCATTTAGGGTGTAGGGTTTTGGGGAACGAAGGCTACCCTCACAATACAGGGGCCACTAAACCCTAAACCCTAAAAACCTGGCCTGGGTTGGGAATTCGGATCTGGGTTGAGAGTTTAGGGTCTCAGGGTTTGGGGCTCAGAGTTTAGGGTTTAAGGCTTTCGGGGTAAAAGGGTTTACAGGGTTGAGGGTTTTCGGTTGCAAGGTTGACAAAGAAGTGGAGCTGCAAGCTGCTGAGAGGTCAACAGCCCCAACTAAGGTCCTGAGAAGACCCCTTCCTTGCAGACCCGAAGCGCTAAGCCCGCGCAGCTTCAAGTTTTCGAGTTTGGGGTTTACCTAGGGCTTACATGTTAAAGGGTTACACGGTTTAGGGTTGAGGGTTTCTGGATCGCGTTTAGGGTTTAGGGTTACATGTAAGCTTTTACGTTCATTTGCCTTCAAAGAAATTTAAGCTGGTAATACGACTGTGTAAATCCATCCGTGGTACAAGTAACCCGAAAACCGCCTAAACCCTACACAGAACTGAACCGAATCCCCAAACCCTACAATCAGAAACCTAAACCCCAAACCCTAAACCTAAAACCCTAAACCCTAAACCCTAAACCCCAAGCCCTATGCTCCTGCCAGTCCATGACGAATTACACCTCCAAGCCATTCCCTGCATGCTGGCCTCCTGGCCCCTGGGGCTTGAAACAAAGCTTACCCTTCAGAGTTTAGGGTTCAAAACCCTTCAGAGTCTAGGTTTGAGGGTTCAGGGTTGCTTATGATCTTGAGGTTTCGGCCTTGAAAATGAGTTCAGGTTTCGGGTGTTAGGTTCTTGGGTTAAGAGGGTTCTTGTTGGTTAAGGGCTTGAGGTTTTAGGGTTTAGGGTGTTTAAGGGTTCTGGTTGCGGTTCTTGAATAGTGGTTGAAATGAAGGTAGGGTGTTTAAGGGTTCAGGTTTCGCGTCTTAGGTTCTTGGGTTAAGGGCTGAGGTTAAGGGCCTGGGGTTTAAGGTTCAGGGCGTTTAGGGGTTCAGGGTTTGAGATAACCTTAAGCTCTTGAGCCACCTGGCATAGCGTCTGCAATGCAACGTGATATTGGTCCTTAGGGCCAACAGATTTCTTTCATGTGGACCCTTAGGTGGGGAGGAGGGGGGGTAGGGGACTATACTTCCTGAAGGAGGCCTTAATAGGTCCTTATGCCTGAAAAGGCCCCCGACCCCCCTCCCCCCTACCCTTCTACGACTCCCTGTGGTTCTTGAATATGTTTGAGCAGCCTAATCGCTACAGAATCCAAGTTTCGGGGGTTCAGGTGAGGAGACTGCTCGTAATTCTGGCTTGTGGTTTTTTTGCTAAAACGTCGGGTGGGACTTGGGAAGGGGACAAAACTTGGCATTTGCTTTTAAAGTTGCAGGGGACACAATCAGGCTTTCCGATGTTTGATATGGGGATCGAAATTCCGAGTATCCCCTCAGGTCCCAAACCGATTACTACAAAAACACCCATTTTACTTTATTCGGGCCACCTTGAGTGTTTTATTGTTTTTGATGTTGGGGCTCTGGGCTGTTAGAGTTCCCTAAACCCTAAAGCCTAAACCCTAAACCCTAAACCCTAAACCCCCCTAACAAAAAAGCCCTAAACCCTAGGCCTTGAACCGTTTGGGACCGTTGGAGGTTGCTTTTTGCGCAGGTTCTCAGGGTTTGGGAGTTCTTTGCGTTGCTCCGAGGTATCAGCCTATCAATGGGGGCTTGGGGGCTTAGGGTTTGGGGATTTAGGGGATTTAGGGGGTTTAGGGTGTTAGGGTTTAGGGATTTAGGGGTTTAGGGGTCTAGGGGTTTTGGAATTTAGGGTTTAGGGGATAAGGTAACGGCTGTAGAATGGTTACTCTCAGTCTTGCCGCAGGGCTCTACGTTCCGAAGCGGGTTACTAAACGGGTTTTGGGATTTGCAGCTTCGGTTTAGGGTTTAGGGTTTAGGGTTTAGGGTTTAGGGTTTTGGGATTTGCAGCTTCGGAAACCACAAACTCGAAGCCCCACTGGTCGGCTTGAGTTCTATTCTTTGCCAAGCGACCCCCCTAAACCCTAAACCCTGAACCACACACCCTAACCCTAGACCCTATGCAATAGGGTTCAGGGTGGAGAGCCATGACATTCGGAGCTCGAAGGTTTGTTTATGGGGCCTACTCTGAGGTGCAATACAAAGGGCATTTCGAACTAGAATACAGCATGTTGTACAACGATAAAACAGAGAGTATATAAGCAGCATGTGCGCATGGGCGGCAAAGAAGGGGATGCGACCCTAAACCCCAAACCTGCGAATTTTTAGTCAGCCATCTTAGCTGTTTAAAGGATTAGGGGATACTGTCTGCAGTCCATGGCTTGGTCTTGCTGCGAGGCAGCGCTGCATGTATGTGAGATTTCAGCATCTTTAGTCTCCAAGCTACTGCTTGTGGGGTCCGAATAATTCCATTAAGCCCTATAGAGTTTACATGAATAGATCAAAGATCCCTACAACAAAAAGGTTTTGGGTAGGGTTTAGGATTTAGTGGGTTCTGACCTCCGACATCAAATCGTGTACCCAGGTCGATCCGATAGAGGTTCAGCTGACTAAATCTTAAACCCTAAACCTCAAACCCCAAACCCCAAATCCTATTCCCTGGACCAAAAACTCCGCAACCCAGGCGCGGATACTTCCGAGATCTGGGGCACGTCGGTGACTGCGGCACTGACGCCCCATGGGGGGCAGCAGATCAAGAATATGGGTGGCTGGATGCTTGCCATGCAGGGTACCGTTCGTAGAACATTCACATTGAGATGATGGCGGGCTAAAGGCTCGGGTTCAGGCTTGATTAAAATGAGTGAGTGAGTGTCGACCTGGGGTGCTCTCCGGCCTACGGAAGCCTTCTTTGCCCCTCCGCTTGCATCATCGGGGGTACTCCGGGCCCGGCAATCCGAGCCTGGGATTTGGGGAGGGATGTGCCACCCGAACCTCCATGGGCCCGCCCGCCCAAGCAGGGCGGTGTGGGTTGGAATTGGACACTTGGCAAGACAGCCCACTTCTCAGGAACAAAGCTGTTCCCTCGATGATCCTTCACCGAAGTACTAAGCTGGGGACACTTGCTCAGAGATGGGGCATGGGGGTCGGGATGGTCGAACAAACACGCGCACCGGCCGCGAGACTAAGGGCAAAAGCACATTCAGCGGATGCCTTTGCGGCTGCAAATGCTCGAAGAGCGTCCCCTTGGCGTGTGGGGAGATGCCTGATGCGGCATGCATCCCCACTCGACCAAAAGGGGTTAAATAGGATGAAAATGTTATTCATTGTTATATATATATATATATTTATATGTATGTAGCATTTCATATCACAGATGTTAACCTCCCCCCTCAAAAAAAGGCCCTGATAAGCCCTAATAAGGATTATTATTTCCGGGATTTCCCAGAAAATAATTGTGAAATAAGCCTGAAATAGTGCATAGGTGCTGTCTAGGATGGCCGACAAATATCCAAGTCTCTCTTCCTTTCTCTCTCTCTCTCTCTCTCTCTCTCTCTCTCTCTATATGTATATATATATATATATACACACACACAATATACATATATAAATAGATAGGTAAAAATAAAGGTATACATATAAATAAATAAATAAATAAGGATAAATATATAGATTCAATTTCGAGAGTTCTTTGTACACACATATAACACATATGTAAAGGATTCAGGTTCGGATATTCCCTTGCGGATTTTTACTTTGGGATCCACTTTGAACTCCCTGCGAAGGGAGGGAGGTGGCTCATTCGTCAGGGATCTACAGGAGCCGCCATGCACCCCACAAAAAGTCAAGGAACTCCTTTGCACTGCATTTGTCCGAGGTCATAGAACATGCATCGACTTTATCCATTGACGCCACCTGCTACCTTAAAGCCAGAGTTTGCCGGCCGCTCGTGGCGAAACCACGTGCCCTAATACCCTAAACCCTAAACCCCCAACCAGGATGGGTCGGGCGAACTTCTCCTCCGTGAAGTGCAATGAGGTGGCAGTGTATGCCGACACACACTCCAGACGAGACATCGCAGCTCTTTCGACACCGGAGGGATTTGGGGTTTCGGGTTCTACATTGTGAGGGTTCATGGCCTAAACTCTAAACCCCTAGCTGGAGGGGATATTATGTGCGTCGTGGGGTGTTGGGGGATGCTTGAGGGGTTTTTCAGGGGTTTCTAGCGGGACATCATGCCGTCTCGCGAAGTCCCTAGGTTGCATCTGAATTTCACAGTCCTCGTTCCTTTAAGGGTCCCTTTAAGGGGTCCTTCGAAGTACACATGGGTTGCCAAGCATCAGAGGGCCTATGCACATCACTACAACTAGACTTGCAAATCTTGCAATCGGCCCTGACATGTTTTCAAGGAAACCGCTACAAACTGGACGGCGGGAGCATTTCCGAGCTGCGACGCGCTGCATGCAGAAGACGTGATCTACGGATGCGCGCCTGCAATTTGAAGTCTTTCAGAAGCGATCGTCTTCGGACTGGTTTGTGCTTTACAGTCTCTCTCGCATGATCTACCGCGGTGTTGGGGGTACTAAGGGCTTGCGAAGGCTTACGAACTGGAACGGACGCAGGACTCGACTTGGTTTTCATATTCTGGCACGTGACAGGACAGTTGCCAAGGAACCATCGCTTTTCTCATTATAATATTCGTAATATGTGAGGAATAGCTCACGTGATCATTGCCCATGGCTCGTTTTGCTTCCGCAGATTCAAACTAGAGGTCTTTCCTCAGCACCGGAACATACGTTGTGAGGTATCGGACTCGGATTTGTACAGTAATCATGCTTCAGGAAACCTGCGCCACCGTGGTATAATTACCTTGCTTTGCGAGCTTCGGCGAGTTGGTTTTCCTGGAGATCCGAGAGGGTTTATAGGGTGTCGGGTTTAAGGTTAAGGGCTTAGGGTGCTTGGTAGGGTTTCGGGTGTCCGGTGCTAGGCCTTGCAAGAACTGACGGCCGGTCTTGGACGCCGCAGTAGGAAAAAGCAGATCACAAACCCTAAACCCTAAACACTAAGACCTGAAGCCCTAAAGCCCTAAACCCTAAAACCCTAAAGCCCTAAAACCCTAAAGCCTTAAAACCCTAAACCCTAAACCCTAAAGCCCTAAAACCCGAAAACCCTAACCCCTAAAACTTACAACCCTAAACCCTAAACCCCAAGGGTTTGTTTGGAGTCTCTTCGGTGAGGGGCCCTTGGAGGTCCCAGTCGTCCGGTCTCAATATCATGGTGGGCTGTCATGCCTTCCGGGGTTTAGGGGTTTAGGGGTTTAGGGTTTTAGGGTTTAGGCTTTTAGGGTTTAGGGTTTAGGGTTTAGGGTGTTAGGGTTTTAGGGTTTTAGAGTTTAGGGTTTTAGGGTTTTAGGATTTAGAGTGCGGGGTTTAGGGTTTAGGGTCATTTGGGGTAGCTCTCCCTGAAGCTTGGGTTTAGGGTTCAGGCTTTCTGGGGTTCAGGGGTTGGTGTGGGGCACCCCGAACAGCTGCCCTTCAACCCTGATTCCTAGACAACTGAACGAACAAAGCCCAAGCCCCAGCCACGGCGAAAGCACGAAAGTTAATTTAACCCCACGGCCCCAAGCCCCCAAAGTCGACAGGTCCTTAAAAACCCCCCTCTAAACCCTAAACCCTAAACCGCAAATAACCCAACACAGAAAAAACCCCACCTGAGGCCGAAATCCCCGCAACCCCAGTAGAGCTTTCGGCACTCCAAAAAATCTCTGTTGAGGCGATCCGGACAAGCAGCTGTTTAACGACGGCACCAACGATACGCTCTGTCAGTATCCTTCCAAGGATGCCCCATGGCTCAGGGTTTAGGGTTTAGGCCTTTTGGGGGTTTAGGGTTTAGGGCTTTGGGGTTTAAGGATGTTTAAGGGTTTAGGATTTAGGGGCTTAAGTCTTATAGGGTTTAGGGGTTTGTCGTTTTGGGGTTTAGTGCTCAGGGTGGGCTTAAGGCCCCGGTCAAAAAGGCCCGTAGGGCTTAGGATTTAATGCAAGCCAACTTTTGGAGCCTTAAACTGCCTAAACCCTAAACACAACATCTAGAGCCGCAGGACCTAGACTTTACAGGCTCTAAGGCCTAAGCCCCGAATTCCATCAGCCCTAAACCCTAAACCGTATCAGGTGATTTTGGCCCTGCTTGGCGGCTCCGATGGCGGTTTCGCAGCTCTCCGTGATTCCTGGGGATCTGAGATCGACACGGCCGGGGAGGGGGCGGTTTAGGGGTTTGAGGCCGCGGGTTTTGAGTTGAGGCTTTTGGGGTTACTTGAGGTTTGTGGCTTCGGGTTTTTTTGTGCTTAAAAGGCTTGGTGGGGTGGTGTAGTTGCCAAATCAGGACTGCTGCTGCTGCTGCTGCTGCTGCTGCTGATTACTCTTCCTTCCCTTATAGTTTTGCGGAACCTGATCCTCAAGGCTTATATCATGTTCTCATAGTTTGGATTCCATTCTGTTCCCAGTGATTTACCCATCTTAAGGAGAATTGACACAGCAAGAACTTCCTAACATACACGCCTAAACCTCTAGACCAAACCGAAGCAGTCTGTAAAACCCCCGAAGCTATGAAGGTAGCCGAAGCGCCTTGGTTCAGCAGTCCTACCTCCCTCAACCCTAATCCCTAGATAAGCCCTGAACCCCTAAACCCCGGTTAGGGTTTAGGGCCTATAGGGTTTTGGGTTTCCGAACCCTGCAGGAAACTGCTACTGCCAAGAGACTGTTGCACTGGTTTTTACAAACGACATGGACGCCATCAGCAGCAACGAAAACGTGTGCCGTTTAGGGCTTTAGGCTTTAGGGTTCGGATTGTGGGAACTTCGGAAGCAAGCCGCATAAATCCATCGTGATAGGCAAGCAGACATGTGCCGTTTCGTGACCCCCGAAAGCTCGTTCAAGAGCAGCAAGTGACCGATTGTTTTGGGTCGTTTTGCGTAATGACCAAGCCGCAGTTCCATCTCTTCGACATCTTCTGAAACTCAAACCCCAAGCGGCCAGATCCAGAATGCACCTCTCTTCAAGCGGCCTTAGTGTGAACGGGGATGAATCTCTTAACGCGAACCTTTGCACTTTCAATGGTGAGGCACAAACACCCAAGTTCCACCTTGAGCATATTTCGATCCTGAACCTCGAAGCTTACAGAAACCTCCAGCCCTGTACTGCCTCCGCGGTCAGATCGATCGCGTCGTGAACTGCTGCCCCGTGAATATGTGTGGGACCCAACCCTGCAACTTGAGCAGCTTGGCTAAAGCCTTAGAACCCAACCCTGAACCCTAAACCCTAAACCCCAAACCCTAAACCACTACAACTTTAAACTATTAAGGCCCCTAATATTTAATGTATATTCCTTAATTGGGTTCTCTGGGTAGTGTTCAAAGCCCCTCTCCAACATAAAGAGTGGAGCTGGGCCCAACACACTCCACGCCTACACCCTAAACCCTAAACCCTGAATCCCTAAACCCTAAAACCCTACAGCCCTAAACCCAAAAACCCTGAATCCCTAGCCCTAGACTTTCAAATCTTGTGGGAGAGAGGAAGCAGGCACGGAGGAGCTTTCAATGGGCCTGGGGCTCGGGTTTACGACTCGGGCTCGATGGTGTGCTTCCGGGCTCCGGCGTAGTTTAGGGTTTAGGGGTTTGGGGTTTAGGGTTTCGGGTTTAGGGTGCCATCCCTGTGGCTATTTCATGCCGTGCTGGCTGTGGTAGTATGCAAGAGGAGGAGTGTAGCCCTCACCCTAAACCCAAAACCCTAAATACTAAAGCCGTAAACCCCAAACCCTAAACCCTAAAATCCCTAAACTTCCTAAAGCTCAAAACCCAAAACCCTGAACCCTAAACCCTAAACCCTAAATCCTAAACCCCGAACCCCTCATCTCCAGGCGCCATTCCCATTACCTACGAAGGGAAGCCATGGGCCGCGTCTTGGCCGAAGCTCTTTCACCCTGGGTTTTAGGGTTTCAGGGCTTTGGGTTTAGGGTTTTTAGGGCTTTGGGGTTTTGCTTAGGTCTTTTGGACTTTAGGGTTTAAGGTTTAGAGGTTTAGGGTTTAGGGTTTAACGGGTTGCGGGGGGTTTAGGGTTTGGGGTTTCATGCCTAAGTTGCGGCTTCTTGCGATAACAACGCACTACATATCGCAGCCGGCAAGTGTCTCCTCATCACCCTCGCAGTCTTTTCTGATGTCTTCTTGTTACAGGTATTTCGATGGGCAATATATTCAGAACTACGTGCAAAGCGTTCTGTGGAGGTTCGGAACTGCGTGTAGTAAAGGTTTACTTCGTCTTCTTCTTCTTCTTGTTACTTCTGCTGCTACACTGATGACCCGAAGCCCTAAACCCGAAACCCCGAAACCCGCACCTCTGTGCATTCGGAGATGACGTACAGGGGGCGCCCAAACCTTCACAAGATTGCGATAGCAGAGCCCACGTCTTGGGTTACGGTTTAGGGTTTAGTACCCTTTGTCCCTTTTTCTCTTTGGGTCCCCTTATTAAAACCCAAACGGTAGGAACAAGGGTTCCCACAAGTTCTGGGTTTTTTTCGAGGATTCAGGATACATGTTCTAGGGTTCAGGGTTTGGGGTTCAAGGGTTTAGGGTCTAAGATCTTCGGGTTTGGGGGTTCGTCGGGCGGCTTGCGCTTTCGCGTCAGAGGTTCGAGGGTTGTTTTTTGAATGGTGCCCAGACAAGCGAGTTCGTCCTCTCCCATCCTGGAAAAACTTGGGGGGTTCTGGGATCGCGGACTGCATCAGCCTCAGCAGTGCAGTGTTTGTGGCAGGTCCCTAAACCCTACGCCCTAAACCCTGGACCCTAAACCCTAAACCCAGAACCTTGGAATCAGCCAAAGTCCTAGATCCTCGAGCCCCCGACCCCTAAACCCTCTAATCTCAACCCCTAAGATGGGGGTCGGAACGATCAATAATGCAATGCCTTAGGGTGCATTGCTCTCATCATTATTTGTAGTAAAAAATATTATGACGGTTAGCATTACGACCAGTATTCTTACTACCAGTGTTGTTATTATCATTGTTGTTCATGTTTGACTTACTATTCTTCTTCTTATTATTATTCATTCTTAATAGCATGATTGGCATTATTGTTGTTGCTATTCTTATTGTTGATATTGTTATTTTTATTTGTAGCATTACTCGTATTATTGAATGTTACTATGATTCATATCATTTTCTTTATCACTATTGTAATAATATACAATATACCCCACAACCCTGCTCCAAAAGCTAAGGCCCCTACACTCACCCCTCCAGCCTACAACTCCTGCTACAGTAGAGCGGCAAGCCCTCAAGCCGCGAGCCCCAAAAGACCCAGACAGCCAAAAGCTGAGGCGACTGGTGGAGGGCATGACCTCGCTATCTTTTGGGCAGACGCCCGGATGGATAGTCTCGGACAGTCTACAGATCTCGCAGTTTCGACTCGGTGGGCCATTTTTTGAGTTAAGGGGGCTTAGCGTTTCGGGTCTGGGGCTTTACTTTTTGGTGTTTCTCCACAAGGTCCTTGTGACGCTTCGCGCTATTTTCCTGTGTAACAAAACCGCAATACCTTGAGTCTCAAGACCTGAAAGCCATACCGCTTGCCCTCTTCGATCGGAACCCCAAGCGCTGAATCTGAATCCAACGACATCCAGTTCTTGATCCCAGCTGGGCTTTCGGGTCGTAGTTGAGGATTTCGGGCTATGTAGGGTTCCAGGTCTAGCGCTTCGGGTTGCAGTTTACGGTTTCGGCATTTAGACGAGACTCACGGATCGAAAGATCGACGGAAAGACAGGTAAAAGCAGATTCTGAGATAAAGATAGAGATAGGGTAAGGACAGAGACAGAGATGAAGCTTACAAGGTACGTGGATAGATGGTACTAAAGTGCCACTATTCTTACCCTTCCATTTGCAGATTCCTTTAAAGGTTCGGGCTCGGGAGCTCTAAATTAGGGATTTATGGGGTAGGGTTTGCGATTTGGGGTTTTAGGGTTTGGGTTGTTTAGGGTCTTCGGGTTTGCGTTTTCTCTTGTTGGGAAGAGTTTTCTGTTTGGGGGGTTCGAGTTTCATTGCCTAAGGGACCTCTTGCGGGTTTGAGGTTTGGGGGTTTTGGCCTTTTTGCTGCAGTTATGGGCACATCAGAGATGTAACCACCTTTTGAGGCTTCATCGCGCTCTGCCACAAATCCTGAATCCTAAGTTCGATACTCCAAACTGTTTAGGGTTCGGGTTTAGCAGGGTCTAAGCCAAAAGCCAACACCTCAAATCAACACCCCAAGGCCACAAAAAGTCCTTCTGCAGCCTTTGCAAGCTGGGTCAAGACCCTACATTACATACATAAGTGCAATGCTAGCATGTACAGCCGTGGACTCTTGACTGAGAAACGAGATCTCATGATTTCGGGTGCTAGGACGTTATTTTGGGTTGAAGTAGGCCTTTTGGGGCATGGTATAGCAAGTTCAGTTGTCTCACACCCAAGCTTAAACCCCAAACTGCCATGGACCCTTCTCCGCCGGAGCATCCCAAACCCTACATAGTCTCTAGACCCATAGCCCTACATCCTGAACTCATTCTCTCCCCCTTCTCACACATCTGAGCTTCTAGACCAAAACCGGCATATGACCTAAACCCAACCTCTCCCCCTGGGAGTGATACCCAATACCCTCTTACCCAAACCCCAGCACCCAAACCCTAAACCCCAAGCCCAAAGCCCTAAACCTAAACCTTAGACCCCTAAACAAGGACCCCCGCAGCCCTCCTGAGGAGTTTTTCTTGCTGGAGTATTTGAATGGGAACAAGCAGTTCGCTCTCGGACAGCTCAGCAGCTGACTCAGCCTAAGCCCTAAACCCCTAAACCTAAATCCCTACACCCTAAACCCTAAGACCTAAAACCCTGAAGCGCTAAGCCTAAACCCTCAGCCCTAAACCCTAAGCCCTAACCCCTAAACCCTAAAGGGGTTTCGGTTTGAGGGAACGTTTGGAGGTTGCGGCTTGGGGTTTAGGGGTCTTACGGGTTTTAGGGTTTAAGGGTTTAAGGGTTTAGGGTTTAGGGTTTTAGGGTGTAGGGTTTAGGGTTTTTGGGTTTAGGGTTTAGGGTTTTAGGGTTTAGGGTTTTGGGTTTAGGTTTATGGTGCTGGGGTGCAGTGGTGAGGGCGTTTCACTTGGAAATCGGATAGGCTACAGCTGCGAGGTCAGTAGTAGTAGTAGTAGTAGTAATTGTAATTGTAATTGTAATTGTAATTGTAATTGTAATTGTAATTGTAATTGTAATTGTAATTGTAATTAGTAGTAATTAGTAGTAATTAGTAGTAATTAGTCGTAATTAGTAGTAATTTAATTAGTAGTAATTAGTAGTAATTTAATTAGTAGTAATTAGTAGTAATTAGTAGTAATTAGTAGTAATTAGTAGTCATTAGTAGTCATTAGT